AGAAGTCGGTTTGCAATGACGAGCGAAACAACTTACCGACGGCGATAACGGCCAACGATCGAGGAGGGAAGTTAAATCGTAGATCACAGGTCACATTTCGTAGCCGTGCGACACACCACACCTGACGACACATGACTTTGCGAATGTGATCGCCACAATACGCCACAATCGGCAGTGGCACAATCACAATAAATGACTCTGAATAACTCGAATCGACACGAGACACACACAGGACACGCTCGAGGTCGATACTCACCATGTTCTCGTTTCTTCGTCTCATTTGCGTCTTTTTGATCCCATCATTCCCATCTCACTGGCTGGCCACACGGACAAACTGATCACTATTCGTATATTATAACATCGTTATATCTCCTCCTTTCACCTCATTTCATTGTGATTTGCAGCTTGTCACCCGTTTTCACCCGTTGTCGATTAATCGCGTCAATAAACATAAAAGAATTATTTTTTATTAATCAGCAGGAAGGAGGAATAATTTTTTTTTATTGATCAGCAGGCTTTTGTAGTAGGATTACCTACCATCTATTTATATTGTTCTCTTTTTCATAAGAATTACGATGCCGCGCAATGCAATGCAACGAGTTTTTCGAGACAGTGCTATAGGGAGAATCGTAAAACGAAGACATGATTTGTACTTATATGTACAGTAGTTTATTGTTCTTCCCTCTCATTTCTGTCACGTTATGTTATACATCGATGTAATGTATAAATGAATGTCTCGTACTATCGATGACGCGCGTTTTCGCAGTTTTGTCCTCTCTTTTATATAAGATCAATCTTTCTCCTCTCCCTCTCTTAGAGAATGCACGCGTTGCGCTTGAAAAACCATGCCCCGACTCGACAATTTGTTTGTTTGTTATATTATTAAAAAATGTTATATATTCGGATTATACACAACGGTGTTAGTAAAAAAAAAATAGAAGCTCTCTTCAGCTAGCGCGACACAACTTCTGTTATCAGTTATCATCATAGAGGTAGGTCCTGCGTGCTCTCCAAAATTCCCGTTATGATCATCAGCGCTGATATGTTGATTAAAATTCTATCCCTTGGTCCACGAAGCGCGATGTGTCGTTGTTTGACGTGATTGTGATGTGATTGCATGTTCAGTTGTTGACATCGTAAAACGACACTGCGCTCGCGAGGTCTGTGGAGCAGTTAATATTGTTTTCGTCCGCTTTTGGAGCCGCTGCAGTCCCAAAAAGACCGCGCTCACATCGATGAATCGTGCCATTTTTCAATCTTGATAGCTTAATAAATTCAGTAATGTATGTACTTAGTAATATTACTTAAATAGGTATATGTATATATCGTATGGATCACACAATTTCGTACATTTTGTAAATATATCTTAAGAATATTTACATCCGGTATATGTTGTATATTTTTATTCACTCGTATCAAGGAATTAAAGAAGAACACTGAGTTACAAGAAACGTAATAATACGCAATTTATTGGCTCTGGAGCAGCGCACAAGGTATCCAAAGAGTCTTTGTCGTCGTAACTTAAACGATACCTAAATGAAATCGCTTAAATGAGTAATGAATAATGAATCGATTCGAAGTATGATTCAAACGATTTTTCACACGTAACATTCCAATTGTCAATTAATGATGCAGACTTCCAAAGAAATTATTAATATTATTTTAAAAAATTAATTTAAAACACGATCTTAATCACGAGTCTTATCAGATCAACCTTAGATATAATCTGATAGTCGCATTATCCTTTTTTTAAAAACTATTCGTTCTCACTTTGTTTCCACCCACATTCCCACAAATCGACAATTAATAAGAGAGATCCTAAAAATTATACTTTTTCAATATTCCAAAATGATTTGTACATCAAACTTATTAATATTAAACTTTTCGCGTATTTCTATTATAGATCGATGATCGTCTAAGCAATTCGTCCAATGAAGAAGCATTCGCGCGTTATTTTTATTACCATAAAAAATTACATTCCATGTGCATATATTTTTTCATTATATTTTAATCTTGTCTATATAAATCTGCAACTTTATTCTTACGTTATCACGAAGCAGTTTTTTCATGTTAATAGTTTGTTTTAGAAATAGATTTATATTGTGTGTGTGTATATAGATATATGTGTGTGTGTGTGTGTGTGTACAAACGCGCACACACATACACACACACATACACATGTCACAATTCATATTTCAAACTCACACGCAACGTAAAAAACGTCTTTGCTGGTCATATGTAATATGACGTTCGCCTCGATTAAAAAGTTTTTTCTATCTTCTTTTTTTCTTTCTTCTCTTAAAAAAATAAAAATCTTTTATTAATAAACATCTCTTGAAATTATAAATAATTCAACTATATTGTACAAAAATACACATATACAAATAATTGTGAAATTTGAATATAGATTATGAAACACACACAATTTAATGTGTTATACCTGAAACCTGAAACTCTGATGGATTGTTTTCAGACGATTCGACGTTGAAAACAAGCGTATAGAACATGGTTCGTACGTATATGTCAATTCATTTTTCATTATTTATATTATTTTTGTTGTTGTGTCATGTTACATTATTTTACTAAATCGCCGATGTATATACATATGTTCCTTTCCGTGTCAATATCATATTATACATTTTATTAATATTAATATGAATGTTTTGCATACTGTACACACCGATATTATATATATATCAATGCTTGATAATTTTAGAATATAATTAATAATTGTCGTAGCATAATTAATCGACGTGTACGTGTATATATGGAAATTAAAATATGGAAGTAAAAAGATGGTAGAAAATGCGTGTGAGTTAAAAACATGAATAGTTGATCTGTTCTCTGATTTGGATATTTATCAAAGTTACATTATGCTGGTGTACATTATTCAGCAAATATTTTATTTATATATAAACTCTGCAAGCCCAGCTTACCATCGTCACAAATGCACTTTTAGGTTTATTTTATCCATGTACGAAATTGCTGCTTATATCTGTAGAAGTATAAGAGTGTTGATAAGTTATTAAGAAAGATTAGAAAATCTGTACTTCATATCTATGCGATTTTCGTTTATCTCCCGATCGGGGTATACGATTTCTCTTTAGAAAATGACAATTGATACTTTACTATACATTGTCTTAAATCGGCGCCACTTATTGCTTGATGTATATTTAGTGCAGCAACATTTGGTTTTTCCAGATATATGTAATATAAGGAAAAGTACCGGCTTATATATATTTATACTTTCTATCATAATTTTTTTGACTCGTATTGGCGACTGAGACAATTATTTCGCGAGAATAATAAACTAACGAGAAAATAGGCCTGTGCGTATGCACGTTTAACAAGTGTGGTACCGAATTGCAAATGGTAGACAAATAATGTAGACACAGGTTATTTTACCGAAAGGCGAATTCTTTCATAGTGGTAACTGTCAGTATTTCGGTTCTCTACAAGCACAAAACTATTCGTAAATCTTATTTACTTACTTTATATTCTTATATCGAGGTCAGCAACACACGAGTCGATTGTTAATTGCAAAAGTATTTATAGGATGAAAATTTGTTTGGACAACTATCGCGTGTGTATTTTTTTTCACAGTTCAAATTCCATAATTCAAATGCCGCGTAACAATAAATAAAATTACATCAATACAATAGTTACAGATTTTGCTCATTGGTACGGCTGACCCCTTTCGTTTTTTTTTATTTCTTTTTTTTATGCTAGTCAGACATATCAGTTAAGGAAAACTCAAAGTTTGTACCACGTATTTATATAAATTGTGCAGAAACCGCAGCGTGCGGCTCGTAATCCATACGCCCGCTCTACTCACATGGTCGCCTGTTCATCAATGCGATAATCGAACACCCTAGTAGTCTGTAGCGTAGGTAAATAGTCACATATAGACTACACTGTGCGATGGCACAATTTTTATAATACAAGAAAAAAATTACTAATCATTAGTATTTATAAATCATAAATCAACTGCCAACACGAGTCTGCGAATTGGTTGAATCACATATTCTGCCGAATGCGTACGTTTCTTTTTATCTGCGAATATATTTGAGCTAGCGAATTTATTGATAGCCTGGAGAGTTATGCGTGTGTTTCGCGTTTGCACATCTCTTTTCACATACACATATGCACGCGACAAAGTATGGGGTGCACAATCCTTGGTATGTCTATGTGTATATAGCATGTATGAATGTGAGCTGCGTGGACGGCGCTACGTACACCACTTCTCGGTCAGTCAACCACTGACAGACTAGCAGTCGACTATCGTCACTATTACTCAGACACCCGTGGTTCCACTGGGAGTTTTCAGTTCAACGTGCCTAGCTCACGTCAATATATACCGTTGTATAATCTAGAGAAAATCAGTTTACGTTACATACAAATTATACGGGCATTACAATTTTTATGATAATCTCCGGCACCTCTGATCCTCTCTGGCTAATATTCAATTGAAATTATTCACGTACTTGCATACAGATATGCTAGAGTTTGTCTTGGAATAGGAAGAGATTGTTCGTAGCAGCGACAGCAACCACATTTTCAGATGGATGCCATGCAGTGTGAAGTATTTTCTTATTAAAGTCCAGACAGTCGACACTAATTTCATCCTTCTTGCGTTTACCACCGGTGCATACCTATGCAATCGCATGGAAGAATAAGTATTCGAGACCATAAGTCGATACACAATACTCGACAATGGCTGCTTTCTCTGCTGAACGCAGCCAATGACTCTTATGAATAAAACAAGATCTCACAAAATATG